GTGCTCCGGATACGCCAATGGAATGTCTGACAATAAAACGCTATACCTGCAAACAGGTTTGTCAAAAAGAGCTAAAAAGAAGAATAAACTAAAAAAGTAAAGTATCCATCAGGGTCAGTGCATAGTGCTAGTTATAGACCTCGAGATTTACCACTATTCACCTGGATTTCAAGTCATAGAAAATCAGATTTACGAGCTGCTGAAAGCATTCGTTTTACTAGTCGGAGAAAAGAGCTAATAGATCTACGAATGAAACACATAATAAATAAATGTCTTTTGACGGTGTTTTTGTATTGCCTGCGTGTAATACTGCTTCATTTGTCTTTGCAGAGGAAGAACCTTGCATCGTAAACACAGCAGGTCTCAGCAGTTTTGATCCAAAGCACGTATCACTACTACTTGTGTATGCATTTCTGGTTATCTACACTGTTTAGCATTGTTCCACTGACGAACAGCTGTTTTTACTTTAAACACCTTTTTCAAACCAGGAACCAACTGAACATTCATTTTAAACTCACTCAATTGGACTCTTCGGCATGTAAACAAGATTAGACATACTTTCGAAAAATGTGCATGATGGCTTTGCCAAAGTTGTAGAATTCGCAAGGCAACAAACAAATTTGTGAGTTTTCGCAATTTTTCCACTTTAGCAGTTCTTATTGGCCTCTTTCGTTTGGGTTTATGGGATTTGAATATTAGCGAAGATGGCACGCATATTGGTTCCCAGCAGTACTAAATATAACAAAATATAAACTCTAAACTCGTAAATATGCTAAAATCCAAGCAACTGTACTGTAGTTCAAGTTTAATTACTTAGTACACGATTTAGAGGCTTGCAGACAGCACTAAGTATGAAATTATATATCAGAAAATTAAACATAGCATAAAAGTAGATCAGGGTATGGTATGATTGTCATCATAAAAATCTGTGGACAAAATCCTGTTTGGAATGGTACTATTTATTTCACGAAATTTGAGTTTTGCTTGCTTTTTTCTTTTCTTTTTCGTAGGCCTATGAAACCCGCAATTTAAAAAACCCTCTCGTTTCAGGGCAGAAGGCAATAGTATGCAACTTTTCAATTCCCGAAACCACCCTCTTACCCTGTCCTCAACCCTGAAACAAAGGTTTTTACGACTGGTTACTTGTATGAGCGCATTAACGAGGAATTAAATGGTTCGACACTGATTCAAGCAGGTATTGAATAATCACTTGAAAATGGTTAAACAAGGAGCATAATAAAGGCATTAAGAAGAATCAAAACTGTCAAATTTATACCTTTATGGCAGGGATTAACTGTTAAACCAGGAAGACAGTGAAAGAGTTCCATCGCGTGTATAAAGGGGGATCACGTTACGTCGGCAGCTTTTACGAAGACCCAAATCAAAAGAACGCCAATCATGTATGTTTACTCCGCGGCTACCGTCTGCTCTAATGGATATGCTCTTGTGCTTTGCCTTTGACAGTAACACCGAACTTTGTGAAAGGCCGACTTAGTAAACAAGATCAAGTGATGAGGCTAAAAACCTTACGCTAAACTTAGTTTCCATTAACGAAGCACGTCTCCTTCATAAACGAAAAACAACGCAGATCACAGAGGTTTCTTTGAAGTTACAATGAATCACGTCTGCGCGATATCAGGGCGCTACGGCGGATTATAACTACATTATACCTAAATCCACACGCTCATCTGATTGTAATGAAAGCTTGTCAAAAGTTGTACTTAGAGTAAATATACATTAGTAAATCACATTCTTCAAGCTTTTGAAACTGCTCAACAAAAGCTCCTTTATTCTTATTATGGAGTAAACAACGTTTTCATACCTAAAACGACACAAAACATCGCCAAGGCTTAAACGAACCGAACCATGCATAACAACGGAGCTGAAAGTGAGCTTAGCTTCTCTATTGCTAATATCCTCAAAGTCGAAAGACCTGCAAATGGCTGCTTTAAGCCAGAACAGACTGCCAGCGGTGCTCAGGACTCAGAAACTCCGAAAAAAGGAGACCAACTTAAAAATTCCGTGTACAACAGTCTACCTTGGCTCGCCTATACACGTTACTGTCCACCCAAAATCCCAAGTAAGTAAAGTTGCTAAATGTATTAACCTTTAAGACGGGTGATTCTTTAAGGACTGCAAATGAACTGAGAAACGTTAGTTGTTTAGCACCTTGTTTAACTTCAGCGAGAACAAAAATTGTTTTTGAGGTTTGCATGGCATAAGGGGCAGAGTGGTTGACCGTTACCCATTTCAGTCCTTTCTTGACGTTTTAGAGATGAGTCGCAATTTAATCTAGCTTTGGACATAGCACCAGTTCTGGTTTGATGTTGGATGAAAAGTCTGATGAGATAAGCGAGTGCTAGAGAAGGAAGCAAAGGGCACACACGAGTTTTGTTGAAATAACTGGCAAAATTTAGTTCAAGATAATAGAATATCACCGTTTTGTAACGAATCAGGCATTAAAGAGAAAGGGTCAAGACGAAATGTTTACAAATTTCTCTCAGGGTCAAGGAATCGAAAAATGGTGAATAGACGGAGGATAAGTGGCACTCCAAGAGTTCCTTTCTCAACGGAGCAACTGATGAAGTTAGAGAAAAGTTACGAGGAGACACAGTACGTGTCATCAGCCCAAGTTACACAACTATCAGCCATGTTAAAGCTTCCAGAACACCGGATAAAGATTTGGTTCCAGAACCGCCGTGCGCGAGAGAAAAAGAGAGCGAAAAAGAAGACTGAACGCATAGCCCCAAGCAAGACCATTGACAAAGTTGTGGCCAACGACAAGCCACAAGACCGCGTACCATACCCAGCACATGTTAATAGCTTTGAACAATGTAGCGGGAGAAAAGACAAATTTTCAACCCATTTCGCGTTTCATCATTTTAACCGCGCCAATATGAATAATAAAGAATGGTGCGCCAGGTTAACGTTGCCGCCGATCCATATATTTAATCATTTTGATTATAATATTTACAGTGGCCTGACAATTCATGTTTAACGTTTCTTGCCCACTCCCTCCGCCAAAACACTTCTCCCAAGTTAAAAATCCCTTTTTAACCATCACTCATTAACAAAACTGTCTTTAAGCTCCTCTGAAAATGTGCGATTATCTTCAATGCCAGCCGAGTGTTCTCTCTTGCAACCCATGCATAACTTTATATAGCAAGTAATGAGCTATTATAACGTTAATTTTTCTCGCAAGACTAGAACTACAAATAAAAAAAAGAAAGAAAACGGAGAAGAATGAGTTACTGTCTCTAAATTAAGAGCAAAATAATTAGCCCTTTTAATTAAGCCCCTTTCAAGGAATGGGCTTCTTTGTTTCCAACATGCGGTGCAAAGATTACGTTAGGCTATATTAGTCTGTCTTTCCAGATTATTACAGCTCTGTATCAATTCCCTTAAGACGCGTGCAATAAACCTAACTCGTCGTTAGCTGGATTTCCTTAAACCTTTATAGAGACTAGTTTATTTTTCAAAATTGTCACAAGACGCAAGACGCGAGTCCTCTCATGAAACTTGCGAGCTTGGCCTACTTTTAAAAGTCTTTAGGCTCAGGAAACTTTCATCTCAAACGTATAGTTACTAATTACGCAAGTAAACCGATTTTTAAAGTCGAGGTATTTAGCTATACTGCCTTTGTTCTTTGTTCCAGTATAACTGCTGTTTGATATCAAAATCAAGAAGGAAAGAGTATAAAGGAAAGACAAAAAAGGGTCGTCAAATTGCAGCACACAGTTTCCCCAAACCCCGAAATTTACAATTTGCTCCACAATGAAATCCTATTTAATGAACAGCTTAACAGTTTCAACTGCTGCCGTAGCAATATGGTTCAGTTTGTACATCAAGTCGATAATCATTCGTTTGGATAAAGAAAGCATTCAAACCGACTGACAAGTATCAACCTGTCCGCTTATCTCTTATCATTGCATGCACCACGGTGGTTATCGGCTACACAATGCATATTAGGCAAATAACACACAGGGAAAAGTTTTAAGAATCTATTACAAGATCACTGACAACGTTATAAGCCAATACACGCTAAGAAAAAAGCACTGAAGTACCGGAAATGTTTGATTGCTCGTTCTATTGGTATGAGTGGGCTGTGTGTGCATGAGGCATGTCCTTGATGATCTTAGGTTTATACCTCTCAAATTCACGTTCCTTGTTGTACAAATGGTATGTAATCAGTCTTTCAAGATGGTTCACCATGATCACATACAAAAACTACAACATAAACAAGTCTTAATTACACCTGGTACACGAATACAGCACACCCATGAAATCCCAACGCTCAAAAGCCTAGACATTTGGCGCGAGGTTAATCCGCAGTCAATCCCTTGAACCTTCAAGAACACGTTCAACAAGATATTTCATAACCGACGATTAAGCTATTCAAATTTGATTTTCAGATTGAATATTGACATTAGGGGCTTGAATTTACGAAAGTAGAATACTTTTACTTAATCAAATCTTAGCGATAACGCCCTTTGTGTTGTTTCAGGGCGTTTCAGTTCTAAAGCCAGCGGCCTCCATTACAATTTGGAACAATCTGCACTTTCTTGTACAAAGAACAAATAATAGCCTTGTGAGAATGAACTTTAACAGGAGCTTGAAGATCAACCGTTTTTATTTCTAGTAACGTGCAGAGCTCTTTGTATTAATATTCATACGCATCTGATGAATTGATATATCATTGACAGCTTCACAAATTAATATATAGCTGTTTGCCGTTTGGTTAGGTATTGAACCGGGAGCATCAGTAATTTGTTCATAGTACATTAGCGGACACAGCGAAATTCGTTAAACAATAAATACATTTTCATGCGTTCCAAAGTTTTAAAACAATACACGGTTCGCTTTAGTGACTGTCATATCCTTTCAGTATTGGCATTAATCCGGGCATTCAAGCTAATTAAGGTGTAACTGTGAAAACGTCTCCAACAAACGCGGTTACAAGTGCTTCAGTCTAGTATTATCTGTAATAGTTTAACTATCTATTTATTATTGATATACGACATTTTTATACCTTCCTTATCTGCTGTCACGAATTTGTTATATTAAAACATTGAATATTTCGCCATGGATTTCGTTAGCTGTTGTGCATAGTTAAACCTTCGAACCTATCAACTGAATACCTCGAATAGCTCCGAAAACATTCAAATATTACTTTCTTGTACCCCACACGGCGTATTTCACAGTTGGCACGATTTTAACAGCAGCCAGGGGTAGTAATTTACAAGGGGAAACGCAAACATCTCACAACAAGGACCTCCGTCATGAGGGACCCTCGCAAGACCCAGTCTCCGACTGTTAAATTAAAAACTCTTTGATCATACTTTCGCCTGCCGCATGCAACTTGTTTTTCTGTTGATGTAGTCAATGACAGATGCTGGAACTAGAACTGAGGCACAAAGATATGTAGAAGAGTCATACCGCACAACTAGCCATTGTTTTTGAGAAAGCCACTGGAAACAAGGTAACAGACAGTAAAAAAAAGAAAGACGATGAACTTACAGAAAACGATCCTTGCATCGACAATGCATGATAATATGCTTCATTTACTGGTGAGCAATTAAATTTGTCTTTACATGCCTCTTCCTGTACTTCATTCATTATCTACATGTTGTCCCGGTTTAACACCGTGTTGGCCCAGAAGTGACCACGCCCATTGCTTGGTTCTTTTTTTCTCGTGCTCTCCTGTTCTGAAACCAAATCTTTACTCTGTGTTCGGTAACTCTTAGGCTGTTTGACAAGTCACGGACTTCTGAGCCCGAGAGATACTGGGTTTGAAGAAACTTGGCTTCCAAGGAGGCTAGTTGCGTGGACGAAAACGGAATTCGTGGATTTCTGTCGAGTTTATGTTTGCGAGTCCCTTTTCTTGGTTTGGATCCTGAAGAAAGGAATAGATTTTACATTAAGGAGTACATTAGTGCTTCATGTCAGGGGTACTCAACTAAATTATTTAAAAAAAGGCGTTTCCAGGCTGACTGGCAAAGTTTCTCTGAGATTAAAAAACAGTAACGAAATAATGACTAGAGGAAATTATAAAGAAGCAAGATGAAGGAAGATTGGGATAGAGTCTGTAGAGATTACTAACTTATCGTGCTTTAACAAGACGAGAACTTTTCTTTTTCTCCTTTAACTGTGTACGGACAGGTCCCGTCAGTAAGGACGCTGACGGGGTGTCCGTGTTAAGCAGGTACAATTTAGAGAAAATTTGAGAGCTTTCTTTCTCCAGAGACAAAGCAAGCTGTCCGTAATATTTAGGTAAAAGTTAGTACAATATACCATTTTTCAGTCCGTGTAGAAGGTTTGTGTTTCAAACAGGCCAGAGTATCGCGAGCTCAGAAATTAAAAACACTCCTTTTTCTAGATTGTTTTGTTTTGCTTTGATTGTCTCTTTCTTTATTTTTGTCGTGAGGACCAGTTTGCGTGAAACTTGATCGTGCGCTTCAAAGAGATTGTAAAACATCGTAAGAGTTGAACTACCTTTGAATTTTTAGAAGTATTATTATTATTGCTATGTTAGATACCCAAATTAAACGCCAAGGTGATTCCTTAATCAGAATAAGCTTCGTATCATGGACTGAGTGAAAGCGTGATAATAAACTATATGATAACACGTGTTCTGCGGCTGTACCTCTATTGTGTTTCAGTCTAGTGGGTAGAGGCGGTCCCTGTGTAGGGTTTAGTGCGTCTGGTTTAAATGATCGAAAATATGTAATGAAATTTATAACCTTTTGGGAAAATTGACGGGTAGCGCTGGGTATGGGACTAGGCCAAGTGAAAAATTGTCAGAAAGTCTCTATTTCTAATACATTAAAGATATAGCAAAACAGGGGCAAACTGCTTAGAACTATTTTTTGACCGACACAGTCCTTATTAAAGAAATTCATGTAAACCCACTTTTACCTATTATCATCAACCCTATTTTCGTTTTAAAACAACTATTGATAAGTCTGCGTTCTTATGGAACCGGAGATGAAAAAAATATCAACTTCAATGTTTCGTTCATTTTGCATACGTACAAGTTAACCTCAGTGTAGAACTTGGAGCGGGTGAACTTTGGACTGTGGATTAGTCATAAAAGGCGTATATATGTACAAAAACAGATTTTCAGTATACACCCTTCAGTTGTCACTTTTCCCAACTGAATGGCGAGAGGACTTTGGACAAAATTAGCCTAAACAAAAATTACCTCTTAGACACAGTGTGCCGATAATAAAAAGCAATAAAAAGGATTAAGGGCTTGAGACCATTTCAATAGAGGGTTTTGTTGGAGACAGGAAATCATAAAGGCACTCCTTCAACGAACAGAAAAACAAAAATGAAGTACCGAATCATTTCTGACAAAGGGAGACACTCCTCTTTGCAAAACATCCTAGACAGGTTTTCTTAAACCTTTCACTGCTTGGCTCAATACGGTTATTTGCTTCTCCAACTTTTACATCTGTGGACGAAATCCTATGGTGTTATCATTCAAATAAAACCTCTTTAACAGAACTTTTGTATAGTGCTATTCATCGCTAAGGATTTTACAGAAAAAAATTGATTTTTTTCCCTTTAGGAGTGAAAAGGCTACTATGATTTATGTTTTATGGGTTTCGTACATATTACAGTAAAAAAGGCGATTATAATTGGTGGCTAATTTCACCGCGAATAATCTCGTTAAAATATATTGCATACTAAATACAAATGCGAATTTGACTGTTTGATAATCACAAATCGCGGTTCCCGCTTACAAGGTAAGCCAATTTTTGTGCTGTTATAATCAGTTATTCGTAAGTGGGGAACTAGTGTCTTCCACCTCAGGTTCATACTAGTATACATTACATCGGTAATTCGTTTGGACGATTCCTAAGACATATTTCTCCGAAAAGAGAACCCGATCTTGTGACATGTACACCCATTTTCGTTGCAATTATATCTCCAGCACGAGAAGAACTTATCTTAGCTAAAGAAATTCGGGGACTTTTTCGGTCGTGCTAGAACAAAAGACCTCGTTATTTTCAAGGAAGTGTTTCATGGCCACAACAGTCATTTGCAACTGTTTAACATTTCGCTATCGAACGAGTCCTTGACTGAAGGTGCACGCTTTACTCCATAGAGTGCCCCACAAACAAGTTAAAGAAAAATGTTCAATTTATTTTTCAAAATACTGTAAAACAAATATTGCCATGCAAAAGTACTGTCAAAAAGGTTTCACTTTAATGGTGACACCAATGGTTTTTGTCTACAGAATCAAGAGTTAGCACTATTTATCAATTCAGCCTAGGAAAGAAAGGTCAACATGCCCTATTTTGTTGTCTTCTGTTAATGAGTTGCGGTTTGTGAAGAAAGTTTTACCTAAACGCAAAAGGAGCTAAACAAACGTATTAGAACTAAGATACATTAAGGGAAACCGAAAGCAAAATGGATGTAACTAATATGGCCTACTGCAAAAACCTATCAAGATAATAGGCATGTTTGACAAAGAAAAAGTTTTTTGCTCATGTTTGCCAGTAGATTTGCTGGTACGCTTAAGCGCCTTGAGGGATTACAGAAGCGATTACGCTCAAAGGTTATCGAACCTGAAGGATATGGTGTGTGAATGTATCCACGTGTACAAAATAGTTTACTAGCAAAAAGCTAGTCATATCTACATACTTTAAACAAGCCATGAGTTCTTCGAGTAGGGAACCCCTTTGATTAACTTAAGAGTGTAGGATACGAAGACGCGGATTATATATATAAAAAAAACATTTACTTCCCTTACAGTCTCATAATTGTATAGGTGCACAACAACTGAAAAGAACAAAAGACTGATAAAAGAGAGGAGGAAAAAAGGAAGAAAAATGTTCATCCGCTTGAAAAAATAAAACGGTTACTTACTTGGAATCTTCGGGGGACAGTACCGCGTATAGGCGAGCCAAGGCAGACGCATGAATAACGTTTGCATCGAGGACTTTCCTATATTCTCCATTGTGAGACTTCCATTCTTCTGTGGGGACTCCTTTCGGATTTCCTTTTGAGACCCAAATGTCTCATTGCTCAATATATTTTCTATTGAGAAGTACAAGTAGGGTTTGGAAGACGAGGAAGACTGTGGAGCGGTATTGTCTTCAGATTCTCCGATGCGGTCAGCCATAGATTCTCAGTTCTTGCTACTGCTTGAAGTCGCCCAAATGGAGTACCTGAAGAGGACTGACCAATACGAAGACAAAGCCGTATAGTGTTTCAGGCTGTTTACTGATGCATTCTTGAGAGGTAGTTTTAATGCGGATTCTATTATGAAGACGTTGATCGCTTCTGTGACGTGTCCTGTCAGATTCACTCGTGTTCTTGACAAATCCCTCTTCTTAGCGAATGAAACACTTGTCATCTCCTTTTTAGTATATCTCTTTAATCCAGGATTACCCTTTAGAAACCATTTATTGTCCAAGTTGAAATTCATCCAAAATAATCTTTTCTCATATCGAACCGTTCTTTAGGATTGGGCTTATTATTTCCCTCACCAAATATCAAATTATTATATTCCAAACTTCATTTTGCTGAAGTTTGTTTGTCGATGGCGCGCCGGTATCAAATCTTGTGATTTATTAAGCTTGATGAGAGCATTGTATGTGTGCACTTGAGCCTCTCAATTGTTACATGTAATTATCCTGAATTTTCCTCCTAAAACGAGGAGTATAAGCGGCTCCAACGAGTGTAATGCTTCCCTTTTGTATTGAAAAAGATATTTCCTTAATTCCCTGACTAGCCTTTTTTTGCAAGATGGCTTTTGGCGTAAATTAGTCAAACATGAACTTTTAAGACATAAACGGTAATTATAAATCTCTAAGCACCACTCAACATAAATTTCAGTATTGAACGATGTCGTTCATAAGCCACCAATACCTAAACAAGATAATCGATTAAAGTTTTATTCTAAGGCTTTAATTGATAACAACAACTTTGAGATAATTGATTACCATAATGATGGGAAATTCTGTTTCTGAAGGCTTATCACTAGGATAGGAAATTCGATTTCATCTGTAAAAAGATAATAAATTCATTCTTGGTGATCTAGTCAAACAAATCAAAGTTCGAACAGAAGAGTCCTTGAACTAAACAAATAAAATTTTCGATTGAAGTTGTGTGTTCGCGAAAGGACGAATGATTCATTGGTTTGAAGTGACAAAAAGATGAAAGAACACGTTGCCTACGTGAGGTTTCTCGCTGTTCTCCTGACAACGGCACAAGCTCTTGTGGTATCTTCACAAGCGAAAATTTAAAAACTGTCTTCAGTAGCCTTGCGTTGCAAAAACGCCATGTGTTGAGTTGACAGTGCTAAATTGGATGGCGAGTGCTTGGAAACAATAAGCCAACTCAAAGTAAGGGAAATCAATATCACTTCAAAGGCAAACTCAGGCGCGGATCTAGAATAAATACTGACCGATTTCCTAAACGAGGGGCCGAGGGAGCAGGCTTCTAGGGGTATTTTTTCGGATTTTAATTCCCTAAATTTCCCTTTCCCGGGTTTCTGATTCATTGAGGGGGCATCTGATGTTCGGAAACTTCAAAAAAGAAAACATTTGTCCAGACCATTTTCCAGATTTCAACTTGGGAAGTTTTATTATTATTAAAAGTATGTTTATTAAGAAAAATCTGACCGATTTCCGTAAAACGGTGGAAACCGGTGTGAATCCGCACCTGAAACTATATTGTGTGTAAATAGTGGATCTACTGATGGTATTAGAAACTGCATGTTTTTAAAAGTGAATCGACAGTTTGCGCACTATTGCAACTACTTCAAAAATATAAATAGCTTAATTAGCTTTATTTCAAACAACATAATTAGCAGAGACCTTAATTTCCTTCACTCAAAAGTGCTAGGATCAATTTCCCGCTTATAAACTGAGGCAACAGCAATCTAAATTGCAGCTTTAGAAACAAAAAAGGCACTTGATATAAGAATTTAATCAAGTTGCACTATCCATGTTCAGTATTCAGGAATTGTTCCTACGTTTCTCTGTCACTACTTATCCGCATAATTTCGAATCCAAACTAGTGTGGAGTTTCAAGCCACATAGTTAAACGATATTAAAGTAATATAGTGCACTTTTGTGTCTTACAAGTGTCTCTTTTGTATTGGACACTCTAGTGATTAAACAGGTCATTTCCGGTTGACAAAAGGTAGAGTAATGCCTTTGGAGCTAGATTTCCTTTAAAAATTGTATAAAACTATAATTACTTCTCGATCATAATTTTGAATTTCTTTAAACTGAAAGAGCCACTTGTTTAGAGTAAGGTACTGAGAGATATTGCCCCCATCAAGAGAACATAATTCCTTTGTACGACAAAGAACTAAGCCAAAAATGCCTCTATTAAAAATCTTAATCTTACATAATCCAAGTCTGCGTCATTTGGATTTTACTACAAAAACATCCAACTTACAGTACAAGGCAAATTTGAAAAAGGCTAATAGGTTTACGGCGGTAAACATCATTAGATTAACTTCGGCGAGATTTTTGGGCAAAACTTGTCAGAACCACTGATCACGAAGAAATTAAAAATTCTAATGAGGATGGTAAACATTTTCAGGTTCATAGCCAGAGACTGAGACTGTCCCAAAATTTTGGTATACGCTAGTCAATATACCTCCGACTGTTTCAAACTAAAAGAGGATCGGAGCCTCCTGTTCATATATTTATCGACACCTGGGCGATAAAGAGATTATTAAATTTTCCGGTGCGAATGAAACACTTGTCATCTCCTTTTTAGTATATCTCTTTAATCCAGGATTACCCTTTAGAAACCATTTATTGTCCAAGTTGAAATTCATCCAAAATAATCTTTTCTCATATCGAACCGTTCTTTAGGACTGGGCTTATTATTTCCTTCACCAAATATCAAATTATTATATTCCAAACTTCATTTTGCTGAAGTTTGTTTGTCGATGGCGCGCCGGTATCAAATCTTGTGATTTATTAAGCTTGATGAGAGCATTGTATGTGTGCACTTGAGCCTGTCAATTGTTACATGTAATTATCCTGAATTTTCCTCCTAAAACGAGCAGTATAAGCGGCTCCAAGGAGTGTAATGCTTCCCTTTTGTATTGAAAAAGAGATATCTTTAATTCCCTGACTAGTCTTTTTTTGCAAGATGGCTTTTGGCGTAAATTAGTCAAACATGAACTTTTAAGACATAAACGGTAATTATAAATCTCTAAGCACCACTCAACATAAATTTCAGTATTGAACGATGTCGTTCACAAGCCACCAATACCTAAACAAGATAATCGATTAAAGTTTTATTCTGAGGCTTTAATTGATAACAACAACTTTGAGATAATTGATTACCCTAATGATGGGAAATTCTGTTTCTGAAGGCTTATCACTAGGATAGGAAATTCGATTTCATCTGTAAAAAGATAATAAATTCATTCTTGGTGATCTGGTCAAACAAATCAAAGTTCGAACAGAAGAGTCCTTGAACTATACAAATAAAATTTTCGATTGAAGTTGTGTGTTCGCGAAAGGACGAACAATTCATTGGTTTGAGGTGACAAAAGATGAAAGAACACGTTGCCTACGTGAGGTTTCTCGCTGTTCTCCTGACAACGGCACAAGCTCTTGTGGTATCTTCACATACGAAAATTTAAAAACTGTCTTCAGTAGCCTTGCTTTGCAAAAACACCATGTGTTCAGTTGACAGTGCTAAACTGGATGGCGAGTGCTTGGAAACAATAAGCCAACTCAAAGTAAGGGAAATCAATATCACTTCAAAGGCAAACTATATTGTGCGCAAATAGTGGATCTACTGATGGTATTAGAAACTGCATGTTTTTAAAAGTCAATCGACAGTTTGCGCACTATTGCAACTACTACAAAAATATAAATAGCTTAATTAGCTTTATTTCAAACAACATAATTAGCAGAGACCTTAATTTCCTTCACTCAAAAGTGCTAGGATCAATTTCCCGCTTCTAAACTGAGGCAACAGCAATCTAAATTGCAGCTTGAGAAACAAAAAAGGCGCTTGATATAAGAATTTAATCAAGTTGCACTATCCATGTTCAGTATTCAGGAATTGTTCCTACGTTTCTCTGTCACTACTTTTCCGCATAATTTCGTATCCAAACTAGTGTGGAGTTTCAAGCCACATAGTTAATCGATATTAAAGTAATATAGTGCACTTTTGTGTCTTACAAGTGTCTCTTTTGTATTGGACACTCTAGTGATTAAACAGGTCATTTCCGGTTGACAAAAGGTAGAGTAATGCCTTTAGAGCTAGATTTCCTTTAGAAATTGTATAAAACCATAATTACTTCTCGGTCATAATTTTGAATTTCTTTAAACTGAAAGAGCCAGTTGTTTAGAGCAACGTACTGAGAAATGTTGCCCCCATCAAGAGAACATAATTCCTTTGTACGACAAAGAACTAAGCCAAAAATGCCTCTATTAAAAATCTTAATCTTACATAATCCAAATCTGCGTCATTTGGATTTTACTACAAAAACATCCAACTTACAGTACAAGGCAAATTTGAAAAAGGCTAATAGGTTTACGGCGGTAAACATCATTAGATTAACTTCGGCGAGATTTTTTGGCAAAACTTGTCAGAACCACTGATCACGAAGAAATTAAAAATTCTAATGAGGATGGTAAACATTTTCAAGTTCATAGCGAAGAGACTGTCCCAAAATTTTGGTATACGCTAGTCAATATACCTCCGACTGTTTCAAACTAAAAGAGGATCGGAGCCTCCTGTTCATATATTTATCGACACCTGGGCGATAAAGAGATTATTAAATTTTCCGGAATTAGATAATTTAGGCGATTAAAACCGCCATTTTGTGTACTTTTCTGCTATCAGCAGAATATTCGATTTTCATGTAGCGTAACGTAAAGCAAAGTTGGTTCCTTTTCGAATAGTTGTTTAAAAAAAGTTCACACACACGAGTTAAATTGGGCTTAAACGTTTCTAAACAGTGATAAAATCGTTCTTTTCAAAAATCGACTTACGCCGTGTTGCAGTTCATTTCAAAAGGATTGAGTCTGTGGGTGAAATTCGTGTTTCACAAAATGAATTTTTCAAGTCTTTAATGTTGTTTTCAATTTTGAAAGTAAGGGGTTCATTCACCCTTTAAAGCCTAGGATCAATTTG